CTCACTATTATCTGATAATAATCTATATTCATATAGAAATAAATAAATCAATACAATTGATTCAAGATCAGTGGCCCAATGTTGGACAAAAAAAAGTAGTAGCTATTTGCTAAGTTGAGTTTTATATGAGAATAACAAATCCCAACTTGTTTGTTTATTTCTTGCTGACATTCGAACTGCATCGCTGGAGGAGTTCACACAGCTAAAGGGATGCCCTCAGTGTGAGTCCTGCTGAGTGTGTCCGTTCTCACAGCAGCAGATAAACATGTGCAGAGCTCCCTTCATTGTCCCGGTTCATTTTCAATCTTCATGTCTTTGTTGTTCATCTGCGCTCTTCAGTATTCACACCGGCTCCCCAGCAGATAGCTCAGTCCCACAGTCATGTTCTCAAACTTGAACCCCTCCGTGGGGTACAAGTGCAGACTAGCTTCCTCCTTTTCTCTGAGGTAGGCTGTACTGTGGAGCCCCCTGCAGGCCTCCTGTGTTGTCTGCAGGGAGAAAGAGCTGACATTTCTCCCCAACACCTGCAGCTCCATGACCCCCCCGGTCTCCGTTCCATCCATGCTCTTGTAACACACTTTCATATACAAAACATAGGGTCCAGTGCATTTGATGTAGATCGCATCATTCTTCCCGTCAGCGAGACTCATCATGTTGCTGCTTTTAACTTGACCAAACTGCGCTGTCGTATTTCCTGAGTTGACTGAGGGGTGTGAGATAGAGAAGGGGATGATAGAAAAGGAGAAAAAGGTTAAATCTTGTTTCGCTTTTTGAGAAAATGAAAAGTACCCATTTTCCAATATGAGTGTTGAATAAAAAGATAAATATCAGAGGAAAACGTTATATTTCTCACCTGTTATTGGGTTAAATTGTATGTGTACATTATCTTCAGAAGCCTCTTGATTCTGGAAAACACAAAATACTGATGTTTTGATTCGGTGGTTAGGTGATGTGAAAAACAGAAGGCTGACAGAAACTAGGGAAAGTCTCGGATGATTAATAACTGTAGTGAAAGCTGCAATAGACACCAGTGACTAAATGTAGAACAAATGGTACAGTCATGATACAGTTACACTGCATATATGTTCATACAGATGATCAGTCATCCAGGTCATATCTGGAGAAACTCCTGTTCCTTTTGACTTTTAAAGTGACATTTCTGTTGCTCTGTTTATCAGAAGCACCTCTATTATGGATTACATTTTGACTTTAGTCTTAAGATTCAGAGTGAAACCGACCAGTGTAGGTAGCATTTATGAAGACAGTTTTAGTTTCATATGATCATGGCAAAAGGACCAATGTGGCATCCTGTCTCAGTCTACTTTCCTGCACCAGTCAATCTCCAAAATAGTGATGCTCCAGACTCATGCCCCACCCATATATCTCATCACACTTGTGGCCATTTAGTCTTATTTAACAATGACTTGTATTAACAAGACTCCTGCACAACCTGCTGTTACTCACATATAATATAAATTAAAGAGAGCCACACTGGGGAAGTTTCCATATACTGATAAAGTATGGGGGAAAACGTTCATGTCTCACATTAAAAGTCCATGTATTAAATGCAAAAAGGCAATGGATTTAGGACAATCAGTAAGATTGGTTTAATTGCATGTTTTAAAAAAGATGTGCAAAAATAGATGAAGATAAGGTCTGGATTTGTGAAAATTATCAAATGAAGTTACATTTCCAACAGCATTTATTTATAGGTGGTTTAAATTCAAATAGGGTTTGGATATAGAAGAATATGATAATTCAGGTGAGAATGTTGGGATGTGATCAAAAGTTTAAAAAATAAACAAGTCAAACTAGAACAAGACTAGAACAAGTCAAAGTTCTGAGATTAAAGTCAGACTTTAGACTTTTTCCTCAGAGTTCTGACTTTAATCTCAATATTTTGTTTTGGAGACTCTTCAGTACTTAGATAATAGCATTAAACTGAAGGAATATCTTATATATGTTTATAATAATAAACCACCAACAGCATCATCTACAGTCCACTCACGGCTGACTCACCTGAACGACCCAGAACAGGTAGAGCGTGACCACCAGGCACGCGGTCACCAACACGTTCTGCACCACGATCACCGCGAGATACTTCGTGCGCTTGTCCCGATGGAGCGCGCGGCCCTTGTCAGCCTGCATCCTCTTCCTCGCGTCGATCTGCTCTGTGAGTTCATGCATGACTTCAAGCGGCTTTTAAAATAGAGTGGGCAAAGTGAGAGGAGGGAGTGACTGGAAAGAAACCGCTGGTGGACGACAATTCAAAGTTTTTTCCTGTGCGTTTGTGTGGGTGGGGGGATGCATCGAGCCTGCGCGCGCGCACACACACACACACACACACACACACACACACACACACACACACACACACACCCACGTGACTGTGTAAACAGATTTAGGTCCCCACAAGTATAGTCATGCTAGGCCACACACACACGCACACCCGCACACACACACACACACACACACACACACATAAATCAAGAGGCGCACAGGGAGCTGATTGGTTAGCAGCACGGGCTCTCTGTGATACTGACACACTAACCTCCCATTTGTACTTCAATCATGTTCCCATAATATTCATCAGTGTAGGGACGAAGCTGAGCCACGACTTGTTTCTAAAAAACAAAGACACAAGACCTTCATCTCCCTGTAATAGATCAAGTTGAAAAAAAGAACCTGACAGAGGACACTTACACAGAGCCAGTCTTAAAGCAGACAACTGTAGTGCAGGAATAATAAAGGCTACTTTTATTGACTTATATGTCTTGTTAAGTCTACTTAAAACAGGCTTTTTTTTTCTAGTGATAGGTCCGAAAATGTCATACATAGTAAATGTACAAAATGGTCCAGGATCTACTGCACTGGTGGTATATTAAAAAGTGCAGATACATTGTGCATGAGATTTTCTGTGTATGTCTTTTATTTTATTTTGTAAAGCACTTTGCATTGCCGTGTGCTGAAAGTTGCTATATAAACTTGCCTTGCCTTACCTAAACGTGTTAAACAAATTCCTGATAGTGGTATAGCTTTCTTATTTGGAGAGATTAGTCTCATTAGTTTACTTTAAAGAAAGACTGACTTCATATCAGATTGTTCTACTTCTGTGACTGCAGGTGGAGGGACTTTTTGATCTGTCTATTATATTCAGTGTCGAGTTTACAATGAATGTTTGGTGCTTACTTTGTCCATCCCAGATGCTATATACATTATTCCAAAAAGAAATATATTATCTGTAGCACTTCGAAATTAAATTAATGTGTGGGATTATTTTTAGCCCACTTAGCGGACTGCTTCCCGGTCCCAGAGGCGCATACATTGATTAAAGATAAGTAGCAAAACATGTATTTACAAATTATAGATGTGTGAGCAGATTTAGTTTGGTATAATGGCACAGAAACACAATACTAGATCTGAGTGTCAAAACGAATTAATAAGGGTACTCAGTGCTGTCCCTGTGCAGAGGCACCTTGACTGACACGACCCGGCATGCCTCGACACGATGAAAACTGTGGTTTGAATCAACGTTTCAATGTTTTGGTAGATGTATCTCATGTTAAACACCTGCTTAGTCTAAACGAAACAGGTGCCCCACATCATCCGGCTTATTGACCACATAAACAAAGCTGGAGAGGCAGCTGAGAGTCAACATCTGAATGTGGGAAGGAGGGGAGGGGGATCTTGGTTTCACAATTAAGTTTCCCTTCTGCGGTTGAAGGTAAAACTTTGTATCCCTGATAACACCGCTAACATGAAGAACATGTCGAGTGATAGTGATAAAAGCTTGTGGTGAAAGATGACCTGTAACAGAAGCACTCACTTGAATGGGGAAATCCATCAGCAGCAGACAACACCGAGATCTGTGCCAGACCTCACATATCAATTCAAGGAAGGCAGAGATATCAGATTCAAAGGGGATGAGGTTGAGAGTAAAGATTGAGTTTGAGGAAGAGTTATCTGACTAATAATCAGCGGCCCACACATCCTTTCACAGTCAAACATGAGGTGAAAGTAAAAATCCAAACGCATAAGGTTAAACGTTTGCTAAACTAGGAAACATTCAGACCTTCTTACAATGATTGATTTCTATTATTTACTAGTTAAACATGTATTTTCTTGCTGTTTTTGTTTATAGTAGATGTATCATTATTTAGTGTTATTCTTCATGCTTTTGTCTTGAGAAGCTTGGGCCCTATAGGTGATCAGGTTTTCATTGGAGACAGGTGAAGGTGGGATTAGCGCACCAGACATGTTATTTTTAACCAGGGTAAGAGACAAGGAGGCCACAGGAAAAGGCAAAACAGAAGGTAAAGCATTGTCATGTTGGATCATTGGAATTAACTTCACAAAAACAACATTCTTGCCTGGTTTTTGGATATTTTCCCTGCATGAGATTTGCTAGCTTTTGCCTCAGCAGGAGCTTTATTTTGAGTAAATGTTTAGTTTTATTTTTTTATGATTTTGCTTCTACACCAGCTGTACAAAGTGTGCACATTAGAAGATCAGAACGTAAGACAGCTGGATGTTGTAGACTTCATCACAGGTGTGCAAACCACAACTAAAAAACACCTACCCACTTCAAACCACATCAGCACAGGCTGTCAGCTGTTGTATAGGTTTGAATCTCCCAAACACAGAATTGAACCCAACTTCTGATCAAAATTGAGGGTCAAAATCAGACAATGAGTCACTACAACAAACATAAGTTGATAAACAAATATAAGGTAAGGGAAACACTGCCGTTTGTAATCATACCTAATCAGACTAATATGTTATTAAAGGAGGTGAGCTGACACTTTACATTTGAGCTTAATTTAGGGTGCAATAAGTGATTAAATGAGGAGGGAAATGAAGACACATCTCAGAATAATTCTTACTAAAATAAAAATATTTGAATCACTAACAACATTGCTGAAAACTAATGTCCTTATAGTAGTACCCTAAAGCATATTTTGAAACAGACTTTGTGTGAAACAACTGGCAAAAGAGACGACAGAGAGAACCAATAATAAATAGATCATAGTTTAATGTTGAAGATGAACCCACACCCAGCCCTCCATGTCCCCTCTCTTCAAGTCTGTCATATCAGTAGCTTTTTTTTAATTTACGGCACAATATGGCGCTCTTCCATACACACATACACGCTCGCAAACTCACACACACCCCCACCAACCGTCATTTAATATTATAATTCCCAAATGTATTGTCTCATAATTCTATGTCACTACTTAGTTAAATATGTACACAATGATGGGGGAAGGTTGAATCCTCTGTTCCTTCCAATCAAAGTTTCAATGAGGGAAAAAAAAACAATAAAAACATTTTCAGTTCTAACATTTCCTGTTAATTCAACAGGAAGTTCATTTTCAGTTTCTTGGACTGTAAACTTCTAATAGTCTGCAACACGCCTGAACAGTTTGTTTCATCGAGACTTTGGTGGCTCATTTTCAGATTCCATCCTGCTCCTTTTAGTGTCTCCATCTCTCTGAGTTTCAGGCTCCCTCCTTAGTTCACTCCTGCAAAAGAAGCTGGACTTGGAGGCAGAATTTGGCACGAGGCAGGAATAGCAGAGGAAGGCGTTCTCACAGCGGATACCCTCCTGTGGTGTTCAACAGTCCTGAGAAAAAGTTTCTATAGCTAAGGTGACACCACTTTGAGTCCAGTGATTCCTTTTAGAGAGCCTCTCCAGTCGAATCAAAGTGAAAAACATGGACAGGACCAGGGAAAAGAGGCTCTGTTGTGCCCTGAGGATCCTTCACTCTCTGCCTCTGAAGCCACCTTCACTCTGAGGCTCCTGGCTGCTCCTGTCCCGCTGTGCTCTCCTGTCCCTTGTGTCTAGGGGTGTGTGAGGATAATCTGGTCCTCTATCAGAGTGTTGTCGGGGCCCTGCGTCTCCATACACTGCTTGACCGTTGCTATGATGCCCGACAGACGCCTGTCCAGGGCGGCGAGGTGGGGCTCAGCCAGGATGGGCGCGATGGGGTCGAAGGCCAGCGCCTGGCGCATCGCTGAGCTCAGAGCTCCACTCCTCAGCAGGTTCAGCCTGTTCCACGTCGAAACACGGACCCTGACGCAGAGAGATATAGTGATAAAGATAAGATTGACTTTACTAATCCCAATTTGGGAGACTTTTTTGTTGCAGCAGCATTAAACAAAACAAGGCATTGCACATAATAACAAATTAAAAGAGTAGAAATAAACAATTCTAAAATATAAACATCTCCAAATAGAAATAGAAATAAACCAGCATTAGAGACAAAGAAAAATATACAGATGACCGTGAAGATATAACAATCTATAAACTGTCTGAAAAATAAAAACACTATTGATGGGCCATTTTTCAGTTAACACAATATACTCAATATAAGCAGGATATTATTTACATCAAGTGTGCATGGAATGGAATATTCTATTCAATATAAAATGTCCAGTGTTGGTGTTATAAGTCAAGTTAACCAAGGATAGTTATTATCAAAAATAGAGGTTTGATCATTTGATGAGTACTCACATGCAGCACTGATAGAGCGGAGCAAGGATGCTTCGCTCATCCAAAGCTGGGTTCCCAAAGCTGCAGGAGAGAAAACACAACATAAAAAAGAAAGTAAGTCGACTGAAGCCAGAGGCCTGTCTGCACTGCGGTAAGGAGGAACCTTCAGATGCATTAGCTACACCCGACTGGCCGTCGGCGCTGAGGAGGACCGCACATCTACTCTGAAACCGCTCTGAAATGCAACGTCTCTAAAACACCCTCCACTGAGCAGAGCCCACCACAAGAGAGAGTTGTTGTGGCTGCCGGGGGTCCTCAGGTTTACATTAGGATGACAAATAAGTGGTTTGTAAACAGCATTTAAATAAACCTGTCAACAACTTTTGAAATAGATTTTGGGACAAGCTAAAAACAGACTGAATAGAGATCATTAAAAAAATAACTTGGAGCTGATCTGAATCAAAACAAATCCACTCCATTAAAAGGCAGCTCATTGTGGAAGAGCCTCCCAACTGAGATACGGGATCGTCCCACTCTCAATAGTTTTAAAAGTCAACTCAAAGAATGGTTGAGAAACAAACAGACGTGCAATCACCGCTAAATGTACTTCAAAGTCAAAGTCAGATTTATTGTCAAAATTACTACATGTGTTATACATCCAGAAATCTCGAGATACCGTTTCCCGCAGTCCCAAAGTGTGACATACAGTGGGGCAAAACAGTATTTAGTCAGCCACCAATTGTGCAAGTTCTCCCACTTAAAAAGATGAGAGGCCTGTAATTTTCATCCTAGGTATACCTCAACTATGAGAGACAAAAGGAGAAAAAGAAATCCAGAAAATCACATTGTCTGATTTTTAAAGAATTTATTTGCTAATTATGGTGGAAAATAAGTATTTGGTCACCTACAAACAAACAACATTTCTGGCTCTCACAGACCTGTAACTTATTCTTTAAGAGCCTCCTCTGTCCTCCACTTGTTAACTGTATTAATGGCACCTGTTTGAACTCGTTATCAGTATAAAAGACACCTGTCCACAACCTCAAACAGTCACACTCCAAACTCCACTATGGCCAAGACCAAAGAGCTGTCAAAGGACACCAGAAACAAAATTGTAGACCTGCACCAGGCTGGGAAGACTGAATCTGCAATAGGTAAGCAGCTTGGTGTGAAGAAATCAACTGTGGGAGCAATTATTAGAAAATGGAAGACATACAAGACCACTGATAATCTCCCTCGATCTGGGGTTCCACGCAAGATCTCACCCCGTGGGGTCAAAATGATCACAACAAGGCTACACGCGCAGTCATAAATCAAGAGGCGCACAGGGAGCTGATTGGTTAGCAGCACGGGCTCTCTGTGATACTGACACACTAACCT